GGACGGGGCTCTCGCAGTGCCATCCCCCTCCACTGACATCCATCCCACTGCCCTGGCATCGAGAGCTGTGGCATCACAGACACCCTGGTCCCACTGAGCATATAAATAACCCACAGGGATGCCTGACAGCTCCCACCAAATGTTACAGGGAAACCTGAGCTGCTGACGGAGGGGAAACAGTGCCGGCGGCAAGGCTGCAATGAGCTGGCTCGATTCTACCTTAAGCAAGAGCTGGTTGTGCCCCAGCTTTGCCCTGTCTGGGCCATAAAAAGCTGGGGTCAATCTGCAGAGAGGGAACGGGCCTGGGATGCTGGGCAAGCTGGTACTTACAGGTCAAACACCAAGAAGAAGAAGGTGCTGGATTCATAGCTGTCCTTCAGCTGGACTGCAATAAAACAGGGGGGCTGTGAGCACAGTGTATAGCATGTTCCTGTCTGTTAACAGGCTAAAATTGCTGATTTAATTGCTAATAGAATTAATGAGGAGTTGATCTGCACTAGTGTATTGGCTGTGAGACAGCATGGGCACTGCTGGGGTGTGTGTCGAGGCAGAACAAACAACACTCTGAGCAGGTGCCCTGTGTCGTGTTACGACCATCAGAGCTCTGACCTTCCAGGGATTTCATCCCAAAAACCTTCCTGGGGGACACACTGGAGAATTAAACAGAGCAGAAAACCCCCTTGCCCTGACTTACTGACATTGGGGTGGCCTGAGACTTTGCGGAGGATGTCGATCTCTTTCGTGGTGGCTTCCCGCAGCTCCTGCACCTCCTTGGGGGAGATGTTTCCCGCCGTGATGTCGATGATCTTCACAGCATATTCCTGCCTGGTGGTTTTGTGGATGCACCGACGGACGACGCTGCTCACCCCCCTGCCAGGGACAACACAGACAGGATGGGGGTTCCACTCCTGCTCACCCAACCTGATCCCACGGCCGTGCCATCGGCACCTGGGCCGGTCGGTATTTCATGCACGAGCGGGTCTCGCTCTGTCGCCTTGTCTCGGTGGGACAGGAGGTTTTTGAGCTGATGGAAAGTGCTGTTCCATGCTATTTTTAGCCCCATGCTGCTGTGGGCCCTGTTTGTATCAGATTCCCAGGGAACACTGTTCCTATCGGGTACTGGAATGCGTGAAACCAAAACAAGCTGTTTGCCAAGAACAGGCTTTACCTGCCCAAAACCTCCTTCGGCTCATATTTTTCATAAAACTCCTTGGATGAGTTCCAGTCTGGTAGCTCTTCTTCCTTGGTCATCTCTGGCTCCTATCTGGCAGCACTCTGGGCTTGTCTGCAGGCACAAAGGGACTGCAAGGAGAAAAGAGTGAGGACAGGCACTGGCTGCCCCCGGGGCTGGGACCCTTGATGCCTTCTGGAGGAGAAAATACTGAGGAGGAAGGAGGAGGAGGACAATCCTGGACCAAAGACCAACAGGATTATTTTTCTGGTTGGAAAAGCCAAGCTTTGCCCTTGGGACCTTGTGGAGATCCCACTGAGAACAGGAGAAATCCCACTGGATTCCCCCCTAGCCTGGCTGTCCCAAGGGGCAGAACCAGCCTGGCTGGGGCAAGGCTTTGGGGAGCACTGCAGCACCTCAAAACCTGATCCCTTCCCCACACCCAGGTCACAGGGCAAGTAGCAACCTCCAGGATCATCACCCAATGCCAACACCACCCAAAGTTCCTCGCCAAGTGCTGGAATCTGCCTTTTTCTTCTTTCCTTTTTTTTTCCTTATTATTTTTAAGACGACAAAATTATCTTTGCCTGAGAATAAGGAGGAAAAAATAGTGTTTAAAGGGAAGGGAAAAGGACTAAGGAGGGAAAACAGGTGGTGAGAGCCAGTGAAGCAGCAAGAGGGGCTCAGTGGGTCAGTGTGCAGGCGGGGAACTGGGTGCTGTGGGGTCAGTCAGGGCCAAGCCAGCATGAGGACAGCAGCTGAACAAGCTTCCTCAGCCACTCGTGTGCAGCTGCCAGCAGCCTCCAAAACTCTCCTGTAAGGCTCTTATCTCATTTCTTTTTCCTATTTCGGGGTTGGGTTTTTTTGCTGGAGGAGGAGCGGTGTGACAGTATTTTGGAAGGGGCACAGGATATCATCAGTACTCCTGATCCTTAATTTTTACTGGCTTTTCCCTTTAAGCTCTGAGAACTGGATGTTTTCAGCTTCTTTCTGTGCCCATACAAGGAGTCCAAGCAATTAGGATGGAAAGCAGCTCTTACAAGCTTGGGCAGCAAAACTGTCACTTTGGGGTGACAGTTTGTTTCTGGGCAGGGGAAAGAGGCAGGCAGGAGATCCCCAGTACTGCAGGCTTTTCCTCTCCCCCCTCTCCAGGGCACTGGCATCTCTAAGTACATTTAAATCTCATTATCAGTGTGTATCTGTCCTGACCTGGTTGTAAAGACCGATGGGGTGTTTTGGGTGTCTGGCTGCTGCTGCTGGGAGTGATGTCTAACACGGGCATTTCTAAACAGCCATAAGTTTGACTTCATTTATAAAATTTTAGCCGTTGGAAATATTATAAGCAATGCCAAACCAAGCCTGAGCTGGAATTATAAACGAGAGGCGGGATCAGGAAGTAGGGAAAATAAAATATCTCTGAGGTGGAGGAGAACCAACAACTTTGATTCTTTTTGAAGTGAAAAATCCACATCCTGGGGGGGTTGGTGTTGTGGGGAAAGGCTGGAGGTTGGGGGGGTGCATCCGTGGAGCACTGCCGGGAGAAGTGTGGGATCCGTGTGCCGCCTTCTCCTGGGACGAGAGAGCCCGGGAGTTTGTGCATAACACCCTGGAATTATATAAGCAGCCGGTCCATGGCACTAACGGGATACGCTGGGACTGCAGGGAGGGGGCAAAGGGGGGAATTTTCTGTCTGGGGGAGACGCGCCGGGCATCGCCCCCCGCCCGCAGCTGCCACCGGGGAGGGAGTCCAATGTTCGCCTTGGTCGATATCCAATAACGTGCAAATACCGACCGGGATAAACCTGGAAAGCTCAAGCTAAACTCAGCTTTTAGGCCGGTTTTTAGCACTGGAGCTCCCCCCTCTCGCCCCCAGCCGAAAACCGGCTCCGGCAACGCCGCCGACCCCCCTCCAAGGGAGACGGGGGGGGTGTTTCTACCGCGACCCTCCCGCCGCCGCACCCGGAGACAAATAAAAACGCTGAAAAAACAGGAGTTTTGCGGGGCAGCGACACCCCACACACACACATACACCCCACCACCACCACCACCACCACCAGCAGCCCCTTTTTCGCCCGCCCCGAACGCGGCCGGTCCCCCCCGCCCCGGCGGGGCCTCACCTCGCTGAGGGCGGCCCGGGCTGGGCCCAGGCCTGGCGCCAGGAGCCGCCGCCGGGAGCCGGGCGCTCGGGGCCAGGATCCAGGCTCTCGGGGCCGGGATCTGAGCGCTCAGGGCCGGGATCCGAGCGCTCAGGGCCGCCCGCCGCCGCCCGGCCGCGGACAGAGCGCAGCGCGAGTTGGCAGCGGCGGGCGCCGGGCGGGCATGGCCGGGCAAGGGGCGAGGGGGGGGCCCGGGGGCCGCCCCGGAGCTGCGGGACTTCCCCGCCGCGCCGCCCGGGCTTAATTAACCCTTGGGCGGCTGAGCCCCGCGGGGCCCCCGCACCGCTCGCTCCTCCCGCGGGGGTGTTGCCGTGCAGGCGGCTGCGGCATCCGGGATTCCCCCGGTGCGTCGCCCGGGCCCGCCCGGGGGCAGCGCTGCGGGGATGGAAAGGGCGGGCGGGGGTGGGAGCGTGGAGTCGTGGAATTATCAAGGTGGGAAAGGAGGTTTGAAGTCATCCAGTCCAGCCGTGCACCCCCTAAACCACATCACGCAGCTCCTCTTGAACACCTCCAGGTGGTGACTCCACCACCTCCCTGGGCAACCTGTTCCAAGTTGACTTGACCACCCCAACAATTAAAAAGGTTTTTATAGTATCTAATCTGAATTTCCCGTCTCATCTTAAGGCCGTTTCCTCTCACAGTTTGGCCCAAACTGGTTTTATTTCTGTTGCACCTCGGAAGTGAGCTGGGAGCTTCATCAGCAGAGGCAAAGCTATTCGTGTCACCAGCCCTCATTCCTGATGTGTGAGGTGACCCTTCCCCCAGGAATTGGACTTGATGATCCTGATGGGTTCCTTCCAACTCAATATTCTATGATTTTGAACACTGATTTAGTCCTTTCACTTCCAGGAACTGCAGATGAGAAGGTGTTTACTCTGCAAGCTCCAAGGATTTGAGCAAGGCATAAGCTGGCTGCTCCCTCCGATGGAAAGAGGAGGGTTTGCATCTTGCACCAGTAAATACTCTTAAAATAGTGATTATTATTCTTGGTTTATGCAGCAGCAGTGGCTTTGCCACCAGCCTGAGCCAGGCAGGAGGGAAAGGCCACAGGACCATCCTCTAATCTTTCAGCCCTCAGCTCCTGTCATAGGATGAAGAAAACACAGCTTCTGTGTTACTGGGAACTGGAGTATCATGCTCAGAATCCTTTGAATCTGAACACAAGAGCTTGTTTTTAAGGTATACAGGAGGTTGCTGGAGGACTGACACCCAGTGTGCAGAACAGTGTGGAGTCAGCCACAGCCTTTCCTGTCACTACCCATTTCCAGCAGCAGAAGTTGCCTGTGGGGTGCAAATGCTCAAGGAGGAGACACCTGGCAGGCAGAGATAACCATTGAGCCACTGGCATTCTTGAACTCCTGTAGCTCCAGCCTCCAGGCACCCTTGCTGGCAGCACAGCTGCCAAAATCAGTTCTCACCTCATCACCCTTCCAGTTCAAGTCCAGCACTCAAACTCAACAAGCACAGATGGTATTTCTGGAGAGAGAAGTTTATTCATACACCATATCACATATATCCAACACGAGCAGCAAACCAGTGAACTCGCATTATCTCATTCTGCTTTATTGTTCCTTCTTCCATTTTGTGCTAAATTAATCTGCGGCTGTTTGTTAAGTTGTATCACATCAGAGGCAGCTATGGCAGGATGAGTGTGAATATATGAACTAACAAGATATCAGACAGCTTTAAACTTTATTATTGAAGCTTTTTTTTTTTTCATTCATAGGTCAGTTCTTGAAAGATGGTCTTCAGCAGCCTTGTCCTGCAGGCTTAGGCCAAACCTGCAAGGTAAGGAGTTATGTCAGTAAGTTTTGGATCCCTGAATGGCAGCTGGTTTTCCTTGCCATAAAGCAGATTTGCTAGGATGTTCCCCCTTCCCCTCATCCATTTGCTGGGACATGCTGAACTGCAGACACCAGCAGAGCACCCTGGTGTGCAGCATCTCCACCCTCCCAGGTCAGGATGGTTTGGCTGTTGTCCTTCCTAGAGGCTCACAGTGCCCTGCTGATTCTCCAAGTGTGCTGCTGCCACTTTCCCGGCCAGCTTCAATCCATGCACCAGCACAAAACTTCAGAAATTCACCCCCTCTCCACTCCATCACCTCCAGCTACATGTACAGGACCAAAGCAGGAAGCCCAACAGAACAGCAGCTTCTTTACCTGACTTTGGTGCACCTGCCATCACTCCCCATTCCTTACCAGCCAGATCAAAACCCCAGGACATCATTCCCACAATAATTCTACTGATTAGCCCATTTAGTAGTTTACTGTCAGCACTGTCTACTTACCATTAGCAAACCTGCACTGCTTCAGCACCTCGCTGAAGCCCTCGCACAGCTTGAGGTCAGTCTGGTTCTGTGCACACTCCAGGAACTGTTTGATCTCGTACTGGCAAGGACCAGCCTGCTGCTGCTGCTGGGCAGCCTGAGCTGCCTGGGGCTCCTGAAACAACACACAACCCTGTGAGGGCCCTTCCAACAGCTCCAGCTCAAAGCCAAACCACCCCTGTGCTGCTGGCTGAGGTTTCTTCCCTGTGTTTTAGTGAAAATGTTCCTTTGTAAATGGAAAAAAATATAATGGGCTGAAGTACGAAGTAAGTTTCCAGCAGTGGCATGACACATTCGGAGTAGTTTTTTAAGTGAGAAACACTTGGGTGATTTTAGATATGCTCAGGTAACTCTGAATGGCATCTGGGCAAAAAAACATCTGAGCAGCACAAAAAGGTCTTGCAACAGATCTTACCATCATCAGACCTGGAACATGGAAGTCCTGGCTGAATACGGGGAATGCTACAGTAGAAAACAACACCTGCCAAAAGCACACATCACTCGTGCATCCTTCTGAACTACTTTTAAGATACTCATGGTGAGTGTGGTGGTTACTTTGAAGATTCAATTTAACTACAGACTATATATGATTATATATATAGTCTATATACAGAGAGATTATAATTATATACCCTAGCTGTGACTTGTGAGGTGTTTTATGTCGCCAGCAACTACCTCAGCCCATAGGCTGATCTGTCAAGGCACTAGTAGTGTCCTGCTGTGCTTTCCCTCACCTGGTAAGTGATATCAGGCCGAGCAGCCTCGTGGCCACTCCCTCCACTGAACCCTCCGGTGATGGCGTGGCCGATGGTGTGTCCCACGGCCGAGCCCACGGCGACACCGGCGGCGGTCGAGGCCATCTGGGCCATCAGCCCTGGCTGCCTCGGCGCCGGAGTCGCCACCGCAGAAGGCGGAGCCGCGGCCGGGACCTGGGCCCGAGGAGCCGGCGCTGGGGACGCTGCTCTCATCGGCGGGGCCCGGCTGCGATGAGAGAGAGAGAAACCTCACATCATCATCATCATCATCATCATCACTCCAAACCGCTCCGAGTAGAGCCAACGTGGCTGCAGGGCCAGGAGGTCACCGTCCCTCCGGAAGAGTCACACAGTTACGCCCTGAGGGCAGGAACTCGGTGTTCTGGTGAGCGACTTATGCAAGACAGGGTCATATTTACAGGCTTCTTTCTGGCTGTTTTAAAGCCTCGCCGTCCCCCCACCCCACAAAGGACGGCGATATCTTGCGCAAAAAAATGAGGTATGACCCAAATGGGTTGATTAACCCTTCAGGGTTACTAAGGCCTTTAAGTCCAGATGCGGGATGGCCAGGCCCTGCGGCCGAGCAGACCCACTTCCACCCCCCCACAAGCACCCAATCCCGCTCCCCCAGAGCCACCGCAGTTCCAACCCGCCGGGCCGCAGCGGCCTGTCCGCCATTGCACTGCGGCCGCTGCGGCCTGCGCGGGGCCCTCAGGAAGGAGAGGAGACGGAGGGGAGGAGGCGGCCCGGGTGGCCCTCACCTGGCGGGGGGCGGCACCCGGGACGTGCGGCTGCGGCTGCCCCTGGGCATGGCGGCGGGGAGCGGAGCAGGAGCCGGAGCCGGAACGGAGGAAACTCGGGAGAAAAAGAAAGCGCGGCCTGTCCCAACACCCGCCCGCCTCCTCTGAAGGTCACCGCGTGCGCGTCACTTCCGCGTGCGCGAGAGGGGGGCTGGGCGGGGCCTTGTGGAGGCCACGCCCCCTCCGCCCGCCTGAGGGGACGCGCGGGAAGCGCCGCGAGGGGCCGCGATGGTTGCGTCATCTCTGGTGAAAATAAACACGTAAACGGCGATAAATCCACACCTGCGGGACCCTCAGGGCAAAATAAACACATAAACGGCGATAAACCCGCGCCTGCGGGACACTCGGTTCAAAATGAACACATGGACTGCGGTTTAAACCCGCGCCGGCGGGACCCACAGTCGCAATAAATACCTAAGCTACGGTTAAACGTGTTCCAGCCCTCAGGGAATCGTTCTCTGTGGAGAAGGAATCCCCTGAAAAACCCTTCAGAATTCAGCCCTTCGGTAGAATTGGAGATGTTGAATTTAAGCCCAAAGAAGACTGAGGGGATCTCATTAATTATATGTGTGTATATATATATATATGTGTGTATATATATATGTGTGTGTGTGTGTGTACACAAATATGTATCTATAAATATGTGTGTATACATGTATATATATGCATATATTTATATAAACATGCATATAGATATATATGTGTACATGTGTATATATATGTACATGTATATATGTGCATATGCATATATATAAAAGATATATCTATATATGTATATATGTATCTAAATATATATATTTGTATAAATAAATAATTGTTATATATAATTTATATATATATGGTACAAGTGTGATATACATATATGAGATAATTACCTCAAAGGCGGGTGTCAGGAGGATGGTGACAGGCTCTTTTCATTGGTGCCCAGTGACAGGACAAGGAGAAATGGCCATAAACTAAAATACAACAAGCTCCACCTCAATATGAGGAAGAACTTTCCATGGAAGGGGGCAGAGCACTGGAACAGTTGCCCAGGGAGGGTGTGGAATCTCCCTGTCTGGAGACGTTCCAAACCCACGTGGACATGTCCCTGTGTCATCTGCTTCAGGTGACCCTGCGTGATTTCCAGAGGTCCCTTCCAACCCTAAAAATACTGTGATTCTGTGATTTTCACCCCAAAAAAGAAGTGAGGGTCCCTCCTGCCCACTCAGCTCCATGCACAAGGTCATCTGCATGGGCTGACTCTCCCTGCTTTAGAGTCACTGTCTACTTGGAGGAGTGTATTTTTAATCAATTTATTCATTATTGTATTAATTATTTTTATAGACAGCAGCAATTATAAGGGATATGTCATGACAGCGCCACAGTCACCAGTCATGATAATTCATGACAAAAAAAAAAAAAAAAAAAAAAATTGCTTGTTCACAGTTTCTTCAGTTGTAAAGGAGGGAGCTGTGTAAGATGAGTAATTTCAACATCTTGTATGTCAGGGGATATAACTCTTGTCTGATGAAGGAAGCATTAATATTGTGAGGTTATATAGTGGTAATCCAGAAGCACAGTTAAGAAAAGCAGTTGTTAATGTCAAAATTATTAGGAGATAAATATAAATAACATTTCATATTCTCCTGTGTTCGTCATCTCCGCTCCTTTCCCATTGTCCCTCTCCCCTTGTTCCCATTGACAGCAAATCATGGCACAGAGAGCGGGAGATTTATAATTTTATTTATACTTTTTCTAGTGTTCAAAGAACTCATTTCTTAATGAGTGGTTTTCTCAACTCTTTTTAATTAATGGTTTTCAACTCCCCTTTTTTTGCTGGCAGAGGGATTCTTGGTGCTTGAAGTCATTTTGCAGCGTCCCTCTTTGAATTGGTTTTGTTCTGCGGAACAATGAGGGCAGGATAGGATGAATGCTGCCTTTGTGCTTTGTCCTCCTGCCTTCCTTGGGAAAACTCCAGAGCTTCCTTTTGTACTGACTCACTCCCGCATCTCCTAATGCCCACAATAACGGGCTGCAAGGAATTGGGGAAGGGCGGGAGAAGGAGTAGCTGGTGACCATTCCCAAACACAGCAGTACCAGTGGTTTTGGTGGTGTTTACAGTGAGCAAAGATTGTTTATTTTCAGCTGCCGTGACTTTTGTGTGGGTAGACCAGAGACATTGGCTGGTTCTTCAGCTACAGCCAGGTGTTGATGCTGCTTTTGATAGAAACCAGAGGCATGTGAAAGAAAGAAGATCCAGCCTTGATTGCCTTGGGTTGTGTCAGTCTGATTGTGACCAGTGCTGTGGATTCACAGTTCTGGCTGTAAGGAGTGATGGAATCTGGTCCTAGGCCTGGGAAACAGGTGATGAAATTCCATTGCTCAAGTGCAAGGCATATTTATTCTTCCAAGGCCGAGCGAGGCTTGGGAGAATCCATCAGCAGCCGTTCTGGAGCCAGGCAGAGCACCAGGCTATGGTGCATGCTAGGATAAACAAACTTTTAATGTGCTTTTTATAGTGCTTGTCCAAATTACACATCCCAGAAAATCCTTGGGAATGTTAACAGGCCCTCAGGGAGATCTCTCTGCACATCAGATGGGCTCTGTGTGTCTGCAGGCTCATTCTGTCCAAAACCATGGAAAACACCTGGAGCTTCACTGGAGAACCTGCCTGAGATCCACGTTATACTGAAGCGACAAATTATCTCCGAGGGTCATATCAGCCGTATCAACCTTCGCAGCATTCCTCAGAGCTGCCAAGTTTCCCCGGACCTGAGGGATCTTTTTTCCCTCAGATCTGAGGGAAAAAAAAGGGGGAAAAGCTCATTTTCCTGTAGAAATCTGTGAGGGACGGGGGTGGGCGTGGGGGGGCCGAAGCCGCTCTGCAGCGCGCCCCCCCCCCACGGCCGCCAGGGGGCGCCGCACACCCCTCGCCCCCCCGCCCCCTGCCGGCCTGACGTGACGTCGTCGCGAGGCGCCACGTCCGGCGCGAGCGGCGGGGGGTGGGGGGCGGGGCCGGGTGGCGCGGGCGGGCCAATGAAGGGCACGCGCGAGCGCGCGGCGGACCAATGAGGGGCGGGAGCGCGTGCGCGGCGGGCGCGGGCGCCGGGCGCGCGTCGCGGTCTGAGGCGGAGGGACGGGGCAAAGATGGCGGCGCCCGTCCTGCTGCGGGTGTCGGTGCCGCGCTGGGAGCGGGTGGCGCGGTCCGCCGTGTGCGCCGCCGGCATCCTGCTGTCCCTCTACGCCTGCCACCTGGAGCGCGAGAAGGGCCGTGACAGCCACTACCAGGCGCTGTGCGACCTCAGCGAGCGGGTGCGCTGCTCCGCCGCCATCACCTCCAGGTGAGGCGGGGGTGGGACTGGCCACCCCTCGCCCCGTTCTCGCCGGCGGGGCGGCCAAGGGAGCGCTGCCCCCGGGGCCTCGGGGGGCGCTGGGGGTGCGGGGAGGTTCCCTGAGCGGGTGCGGGCGCGGAGGGGCCTGTGGTGGGGGCACAGGGCAGGGGGAGGGGGGTCAGCGCTCCCGGCCGGGGCAGCCCCAGCGCTGGAGGGCCGGTGAGGGAGCGGCTTTTTTCGGGATCACCGGCTTTTTTCGGGATCACCACGGGCCAGAGAGTGAGGCACCCGCAATTCCCGTGTTGAAATCAGTGGCAATTAGGGGCAGCGACGGGCGTTTTAGTGGTAAACGCTCGTTAGAGCGGAGTGGTGTGGCTGTGAGTGGAGGTTGAGGCCAATGTAAACAAGGGCGATTGCAGGTGGTTTGCTTTGGGTGGTTTTAATTGCGGTATCTCGTATTGCGTTTTCATTGAAATGTCACCTGGCAGCGCAGTTGACGGTTTTGTGGTACAGAGGAAGTGCTTCATTCAAGACAGACTTGAGTCCCTCTGCAGCAAAAGCTCAGCCCAAACCCTGAGTTATTTTGCAGGTGTCCAGTCAGCTTAGCAGTTGTTTCCTAGAGGTCAGTGGTTCTTATTTCTGTTAGGAGAGTCAGTCTGTAATATTCTATTAACTTGACTTGTCATGTAAGTAGTTGGTTGAGTTACAAAAATGAAAAGACTTGCCCTGCTGTTCAAAGTGATTCCAGTACAAACATGACACAGGGAATAGTTTCAGGTGGACTAGATCTTAGGTGTCTTTTCCAGCCTTCAGGATTTTATGGTTCTAGGTGTAATTTGGCCAAGAAACTCTCTTAAAAGCATATTGTCAGATATCTCAGCTAAAGAAATAAGAGGATTTATCCATCAATCTCAAAATTGCTCAGAGCACAGAATGTATGTCTGTGGGTATGTGTAGATATACAGGCACATAAGGACATCCACTATAAGGAAGTGAGAAGGGAGGGTTTTGGTTCTTGAGCAAAACCCTATTATGTATTAAATATATTAAATGCTTCCTCCTTTTCTTTTAATGAGAATTTTGTTACTACCATGTTAGTGCCCTCAGCTGAATGAGCACTTGAGATTTATTTTTTTCCCCTCTCAGTGTAACCTGTGTAAAAGCTGTCCCAGTTTTTATCAAGGTACTTGTTGTACCATCATAAAAAGCCAGTTTGTGCAGGACATACCCATACTCCTATCGGGGTGGAAGCTGTTAAATTGTTGAGGTAAAACACACAGGGATCTCATATTCTGAAAACCTCCTCTGTGGTGACAGCAGTGGGATTGTGTTACAGAGATCTGTATCTCTGGATGTCTGAGAGGGGACTCTTGTGATTGAGTGAGGGCTTTAACTCTACTTTTCTGTCTGTCCTCAGGTGATCTTTAGTTTGTGGAGGTGCTTGTTCATGTCTTTGTTTGGGAAGTGTCCTGAAGTGAGAAGTTTTGCTCTAACTAGGGAGAAGACTTCTACAAACTTGTCAGATAACATAAAACTGTATAAATTGAAGTTATGCATAGGCTGCTGAGATTAAACCACGTGAGTCTCATCAGTAAAATAACTTTCACCACCAGGAGCAAAAAGAGAATAACAGGGATTTAATCATCATAAATCACCTCCATAGCAGCCCGTTCTTGTACAGAATTGGTTCTCCAACAGCTTTTTATTGTTGCTGCAAATGCTGCTACTGAGACAGGCAATTTGATGCAATAGTTTTGATGTGTGTTTACTAAATGCTTGGGAGAAGGAAAACACTTAAAGATATAATTGGAATCATTTCTAATTATGGAATCATGCTTGGTAATTATAATGTTCATTAGTAATGCAGCAGCTGACACGCTGAGTGTGCCATGGCAAGGCCTAGAAATACTTTACTGTAGGAATTCTTTGTAGTAATATGAAGAGTCAGGGATAAAATGAACTAAAAATCTCACCAGCAGTTGCTAGGAGAACATACTTAGAGTTCTCCTATTGCAAATGTCAGGATATCTCGTGGTGATTAGAGCAGGTGGTAAAAGGAGTTTGTGGAAAAGGAACGTGCAAGTTCTGTTCAGTCAAACCATATTTGGAGAAGAATGTGCTTTCCAGGCTGAGCAGGACACAGAGGAGGAGTGTTGTTGCTTTAAAAGTAAGACAGGAGGGCAAGTGATTAAACTTCAAAATAAGAATAACATTGGAAGAAATTTAACTTATTTTCCATGTTGCCACAGCTCCCCCTATCCATCAGTCACTCTCTCTCAATCGAGCATTCCTTGTCCCCACATCACCAAGGTTTCTGTGAAACTTGATTTCTAGAAGGGAGTTTTAACTACAATTTAGATTTTACTGGGGTAGTGGAGTTTTGAATCTTGTGTTCCAGCTTTTCCACACGTACTGCGGATTTAACCTTCATGTGTTTCTTTCCTCATTAAGCTGTTACATTGGCAGTCAGAAATTATTTGATTAGCTGATTAGCAGAGTTAACTCTGCAGAGTTAAATGCGTGACAGACTTATACTTTGTGGTTTTTACTGGCTTCTAGAGTGTTCATTCAGTTGTGTGACTTTTAATTTAAGCTGGATTTGCTGATGGAACTTGGAATGTAACAGTCTTCACATTTTGAGTCCTGACTCCCACAGTGGACTGAACTTTAGAAAGCACTTAATGGTGGTGGGATTAATTTTAAGTGTAGAGAATAATTAGAATAAATTAGTTTATTCCTCCCTGAGCTGACTTTCTGGTATTTGAGGGTGAGGTTTTTTTTCACTAATAAGCTGTTAGTATTTCAAAGTCTTGCTTTTAAGCCCAATCTGGTATTGGCAGAACCACAGGAACAGAAATGTAAAGATTGCCAGCACACAGAGGGAGGAGCACAGACAATCTCCTGTCAGAGCCTGACTCATACAGAAGATTAGGTTGGAGCGATACCTTCCCAGTGTCCCTTATTCAAAACAGGAATGGTCAGCATATTTCAAGCTTTTATCGTGGGAAAAGTACATGAAGTAGTTTAAAAATAAAAGCTGCTAAGGGCTGTATAATAAAGGAAGGTATTAGGGAAATACCAAACGTTTTCATTGGCAATTGCCGTAGGTGTTTTCAATGAATTGCTGTCTTATATTTGAAAATAAGTGGCAAGAGTTGCCTTATGAAACTGGCCTATGGCAGTTCCTGAAAAATATTTCTGGTCTTGCTGTTACAGTAATTCCACAGAAGGAATTAAACCAATAGACACGTTTCAAGTAATGTTGAGAGTGCTACAGCTTGAAATAAAATGTGACCTTTAAGTTGTAAAGCAGAGACCCAGAGCCTTTTGCTCTGGTCTTTTACTTGCCCTGGGAGATTTTGGGGTCTTCTAATACATTTCTGCTTTCTGTCTTGATTAATTGAAGGTTTCTGCAGAGGGGATTAGTGGGTGGCTCTCTTTTTGAAGGAATTTTTGTGGCCTGGAGAGCACTAATGCTGTGACAACTGTGACACAGCCTTGAGACAGCACGAAGGACCAAAGGGCACCTGTCACTGTATATCTTTAGCAATATTTGCAGCTGCGTAAGTGAAGAGCTTTGGCAATAGTCAATATTGATCTAGGTTAACGTCTTTAGAAGTTCTGGAGTCCAAATAGGATTTGAAGAATCTGTGGATTAATTGGATCTCATTGAGAGATGGCATATTTTAGGAATTCCCTGTTCTAACTTCATGCTAATGGGGGAGGTCTTGGGTTGTCATCTTGTGTTTGAGCCACTCTGAAATGCCTGTTCTGAAAAATCCTAATCTCCCAGAACAGTTTGGGTTGGAAGGCACCTTAAAGGTCATGTATTTCCAGCCCCCTGCTTTTGGCAGGGACTCCTCCCACTAGACCAAGTTGCATGTCTGCCTTGTGTCTCCTGGTGGATGCACCAAACTCATCACTTGGTAGTTCCTGAAAATACATGTCTGTAAAATGTGTGTGTTGGGCACAGGTCTGTTTGCAGTTTGCCAAGGGTGGTCCGTGACAACTGGAGGATTATTGTGTTGTTCTATAAATCATTGTGAGCAGTGAATTTACACCTGTTTTAAGTGTTGTGTTTGCTTTGCCTTGTGCCACAGTACTTAAGCTCTCTGTTGTGTGAGGGTAGTGGTGGAGAGCTCATTCCTCTGCAGGGTGGGGGTGCATTGTGCTGTAAGGAACTGCAGGTAGAACTGACCTGTGCTGGTTTCTTAGTGAAGAACACCTTGCTAGAACTGTTCTGGTGCATCCTTACAGAATGCAGACTGTGGCACTGATCAGGTTGACAGGAACAACCCCATTCTCTGAGGAAATGGGACATGGAACCAAACTTCTCAGACCTCCTCCTAACCTGATCTTTAAACTGCAGTTCTGTTGTGGGGCGGTTCCTGTAAACTTGGTATCTGTCAAGTTTACTTCATTCCAGGTTGAGAACATGATATAGCAGTTATCATTCTTATTAGTAATAAATTCCTGATGTCCCAGGATTTTTTTATTGCTGTGTCTGCAACCAGGCATTCAGATATGTTTGAGGTTTGCAGTTAGTGACTGATGTAAGGTGGCAAAGGTTAAAAGTAGCTTTATGCAGGTAGTGGGAGAAGTTTGTCTAGTCTGTTCTTGTGAACCAGTGCACACAAATGAGGCCCATGTGCTTTTTAAAAACATTGTATTAGTTTTGCAAGTCTTTGGGGTTTTTAGTCAGTAATATCTTTCATGTGAGCCAAGTGAATTGTTTTTGTAAAGCATCTTTGATTCTGGATAGAAAAAGGTAGAAGTTTGATTAAACTGAGGGTGGAATGTGGAGCACTGGGTGATCATTCAGCAGGAATCATATTCATGGTTCTTAGGCTACAGAAATAGTTTACATGAAAATGTAGCCTCCTGAACTCAGCTACAATCTGTCCTGTCATTTACCATGGGTGGGTGGTCCTTTCAGAGTATTCCCAAGTGTTGGACAGCAGGTGTATTGGGGCTTCTGCAGTTACTCTGGATTCATTGGGTTTGCTGCC